TGACAGGGCTGTGTGGGTGTATGTGTGTATAAATTGCTGTCCTTCACAGCTGATAGGGCTGGGAAAGTTGCTGATAAATTGTTAGTGCCTGTTCTGAAAGTTGTTGCCGGGGGGAGGGGATCATTCACCGTGCCATGCCGATACATCAAGAAATGGGTAGATTTTAAAACTTTTTTGTTGGAGATGATAATTCTCTGTTGGCTTCTTGTATATCTTTATAATCTTCTCTTTTCAGACTTATATCCTACATCTGTTTTTGTATGCCCTTCCCTCCTCCTCATATATTTTTGACAACGGAGGGGAGGGTAATAAGTAGCTCTTAAAAATATAAGAAGTCTTACATACTTTTATAGGCTTGCAGGTTAATTAAATATGTAATCACAAAAGTGACAGCACAAAATTCTGCTCATTTGGGTATTAGAAAGTAGCTGAAGTGTGTGTTATTTATTTATTGCTTGTTTTATTTTGGATTTTGGTTTTCTTTCAGACTGTATAATTACATTTGTGATGATTAGTTATCTCCCTCCTGATACTACATTATAAGTGAGATCCAGAAAGTGCCTATTTTAAAGGACAGGAAATGCAGGAGGATATGGGTCAATGCTGGTGGTTCTGGTAAAAGGGTGTAATGGGACAGTGTAAGGAAAAGTAGAGGAGGCAAAAGCCTTGGTCTGTAGAGTTAACCTTGCCGATTCTCTAAGTTGCTGTAATTTATTACACTCTTGAAAGAAGATTGGAAACATTGTTCTAAAGCTGAAAGGTAGAATCAGAAAACTGTATTAAAAGAAAAGAAAAAAAGCACAATTATTTGGGGTATTACCTGATAAGAAGCATTGGGACTTACCAGATACAACACCGAAATATCTTTGCTGCGTAGCCGGGTGAGCCCAGGCTGCATTCAGCTGTCCTTGGTTAGTTATAGTGTCACTCTCTAGTAAAACAGGGGTCCTTGGCCTTTCCTATCTAGGGGCAAAGGTGCTGAGCAAGAAACGCACGGCAAGAAATGTTGTACTTTAACACTCTCTCTGCCAATCTGGACTGTAAAAGCGGTGGTCTTACTTTTTAACAGCTTCATTTCCTGTGGATATGGTGCAGGATCAGTGTGTTTGTTTGAGTGCTGTACACTGGAGAACTCTTATGTGAAGGGCAGATCTTAAAAAAAAAAAAAAAAAAAGGCATTGTAAAAATTACTTTCTCAAGCCCGTAATAGTGTGTGTGTGTACGCGCACAGGAACAAGGTCCTTGGGAAAACATTTGAAACAAATGAGGAATTCTTGCTCATTTCTTCCTTTTGAAATACCAGAATGAGAAAGTAAATGGAAATAAACCATAAATTGGCAGGATTTGGACTAGTCTGTAGTGGCTTGGAGAATGTTCTTTGATTGCTATTCTCTAGCTTTATTTTCCCTTTAAATGTGAAAGAGCAATTCTGAAAAAGCTGTGGTAGAGCTGGTGAGGGTCCTTGGTGTTTCAGGCAGGTACAAAGCGGGTGTTCAGTCTTAACTTAGGCTTTTACGTGATGTTGTTCCCTTGGGATCTACATTTTCATATCCAAATAATCAAGTTCCGAATACCTACATAAAAAGAAAGAAGGCCAAAATAAATTTAACAGAGGAAAAAAAAAAAAAAAACTTGTTCAAACTGGACAGGAAAACCTAAGCCCATATAATTGTGCACATGTACTGGAGAGCAGCCACCTTTTTTTTTTGTTTCTCAAGCATGAGGCAGCAGAATTTTCTTTCATTTGGTATGCGAGGCTGGAAACAGAGTCGTCTTTCATTTGGCACACTCCCCTGCAAACAAACATGCCCGGTAGGGGATGGTGCCAGTTATCAGATGCTTGCAGGAATACATTGTACTGATTGTATTCATTTTCATTTCATGAGTTGCTTTAAAACTTAGCAGCATAAAAAAGCATTAAAACACCTTTTTAACATTATTTTTAGTTTCCCTCTATTTCCCTGCTGTGCTGTTATTCTGTTTAAATCAGTGCAATGCTGCGAGCCGCATGGCTTGGTCGGCAGCGCAGCGGCTCCGTGGCTGCTTCCCGGCCACGCTCGCTGCTGTTATCTGCAGAGAAGCAGCACGTTTTAAGTTTTATGCATTTTGCATTCATGAAAAAAAATCGGTGCCTTAGAAATATGTTCAGTAAAAATAAAGGGTGAATTGATCAAAGGCAGTGAGGAATTTAAGCCAAAACTCTGTTCAGAGCCACTAACTTTAGCAGTTTCTAGATAACGCTCCGTGTTCCGGGAGGCTCCTGCTTTTGTTTCCCAGCATGGGGTTCTCCAGGACTGCCAGCAGCTCCTGCAATTTGCTGTTGGACTCTCCTTGCCCTCAGATGTTTTTCCAAAAGCAAACTTGGCAAACTCGGGTATGCTGCTTGGAATGATTGTGTTCATGATACTGCAGATTAGGACCAGGTTGGAGCAGATACACTTAGTGAGGGAAATTCAGGAATGATATTTTAATCAAGTCTGATACGAGTGAAGTTTCATTCCTTTTCCAGTCTTGTGCTCTTGCTGTTGATACTTGGGGAGCGTGTGGTTACGTCTGCTCTATGTGATGGCTGCTTCTCCTCCTGGTGTCACTGGGCAATTACAGTGTGCAGGAACACAGCGTGCAGGCAAGACTTCTTCTCTTCAGGGAAATTACTTTCAGGAAAGGAAGGTGTTTGAGGAAAATTCCAGATTCATGTGATTGGTCGCAGAACGTGTGTATTGTGGAACTCTAGGCTATGAGTACTGATGGGGGATTTTTTTTTTCTTTTTAAAGTCATGGTGAAAAAAAAATATATTAAAAATAAAATACAAAGACTAGAGTCCAGAGTTCAAGGCAGTGAACTACATAGTTTTTGGGGTAAGCTTGCAGAGTGGGAATGGCCTTGGAGCAGGTCTCCACCGGAGGGAACCGCGCCAGCCTATTCAGACCCGGAATAGGGTGAGAGTTGTTTTGGAAAGGGAGTTGCAACTGTATTTTCAGCCCTGAGAAATACCTAGGCTGGGCTTTGGAGCAGCAATGTGACTTTTCTGCCTCTACATACTAGCCATGCATTCAGCAAGAGTCATGCGCAGAGTCCCTTGTGTTGTTTGAGGAATGAGCCCTGGAAATGGATGTTGTAATCAATGGCCTACAGGCTCCAGCACTTAACAGGTATCAGTTGTGCGAGGGCTTCTCCTGCGCAGGATGAGAGTAAGTTACTGCACACTGCTGTAGACAGCTCGAGCTTCTGCCCAGTTACCTGCCTTGCTTGTCTGGGGGGATTTCTGTGGGACTATGTACCCTGATGTACCCTGTGGTGGCAAATCACAGAAGAAAAACACCTATTCTAAGTTTACAAGGTTTAGTTCTTTAATTCTCTACCGTTATGTTTCAACTTTTACACCAGATACTTACCCAAAGGCAAGTAGTGACATTCTCCTACACAAAACAGAAAATTTTATTGATGTAACCACACAATTCAAATTTCTCTTGATTTAAAAAAAAAAAATTCTACAAATTCGACTGTAATTTGGGAAAGCTGAAAAAGACTTTTAGGTTTATATCTCGTGAAGGCTCGTGAAGCAATGAGTTTATTTACAGGTGTAAGATTCATGCTTCAAATACTCTTGCTGTGGAACTGATGCTCTATACAACTGCCGCTTTTGGGTGCTATTTTCATTATTTGTTATATTCACTATTGGAAATTGTGCACAGGCCTTTTTTGGTACTGCAGTCGAAATAAGGAGAATGATACAAGTAAGTTTATTTTCTCTCTTAACAAGTGATTGGGCAAACAGCAAATGAAGAGAAATGTGAGTTTTATCTCTGGATCCCATGCCTTCCTATTGCTAATAAAGATAATGCCACCTATTTGAAGATATTAACAGGCATATTTAAAACCCAAGATGAATTGAGTGCATTTCCTGTGTTAGAAACAGTTGCTAAATTGTAAGTAACTAAGTCTTGTTGTATAACTGCATTGCACTCGAGGGAACAATTTAGGTTTTGAATTGTATATGTTGGTAAGTGAAAACTATGTAGACATTGATTATTTTTTTTTCCCCTTGACCTAATCACTGTTTGCCTATGGCAATATCTGATATGTTATGTGTTCACCAAGAATTGTCTTGGGACCACAATGAGTGTTTTTGGCTTTTCTTTTTTAAGGTTCATTAGTAGTCGTAGTTGCAGCAGGAACAGAAGGCAATGGAGTGATGTACTGTACTTCGTGGGCTTTCCTACTTATTGTAAAGGTGGAAGGGAACTCTGCCGATGAGACTCTGAGCTTGTATAGACATAGGAGACCGGATTTGCATCTTTAATGTTTATGCATTTGAAGCATGCATTTATTACAAAAGAAATTCCTGTGTTGTCAGGAAAAAAAAGATTTTTGTATTTTTTTTTCTTCTTATATATTTGTTATTTGTTAGTTTTTCATATGTACTCGTGAGTGTAATTATATGAATAAAAATTCCAACAGACTACCTTAAAAATGTATTTAATTTTTGTCATATTATTGATTGCTTCAAATTGTAATTTCTTTTGTGTTAAAAATATTGGTTTATACTGTGTAAGAGCTTACTTAAAAGTGTAAAAGATAAACTGTTAACTTACATGTAAAGGTCTTGTACCTAAACACTTGGAAACTCTATTTGTTCAATAAAGTGTTAGCAATTAAAAATTCCCATAAGAATACTTGCATATATTTGCATGCATTAGAGGCTAAGTATAGACTTGTTGTTTGGTATAACTGGGAGCTAGTTCTATCAGAAAACACCTTTTCCTCCATTACCTTGTCTACTAGGCGCGTGTTTTCTGAGGTATGTGGCTGAGAGCCGAGCAGTTTTTACCTTAGCTTTTGACACAAGTGCTTATGTTAAGCTTTGTTTTTTCAGAGTATTGGTGATGTAGCGTTACCTTTTTTCCTGTTGAATAGCGGCGTAGGGATCGGACACAGCTGGGGTGAGACGTGCATCAGGGAGGTGCCTGTGGCGAGGGCCGCCCTGAGCGTCTTGATTTACAAGAGAGGAGATGGGGAGGCGACGGGTGCTGTGCCGGGCCCTGCTGCCCTCACCTCACCGCTGCTGCTGAGAGGCAGCCGCCAAGGCCTGGCGCGAGGCCTGGGTGGCTGCATCCACATGAGGGAGACAGCGCGACAGGCGTCCGAGGCTTCGTCAGCGGGAAAATGTACCCAAGTGCCACGTGAAGAAGCCAACCGCGAGGTGCGCAAGCGGCCCGTGATGCTGTCGGCTGCTTCTGCTGCCGAATGCTGCTGGGGCAGAGTTTGGGTTTCTGCTCCCAAGGTGCAGCTGAGGTTGCGATTTCTGGAATGCAGAAGAAGCAAGCTTTATCTTTAAACCAAAAAACGTAACGTGGTTGTAGTGTTTTTCCCCAAATCTTTGAACCTTTGCCTTAGCGTATGAAATATTCTGGTTTGTAGAAAGCACTGATTCTTCACTTCAGTCTTGTTGAGCCTTTATGGAGGGTGGCCCTTAGCTATAAATGAAAGATCCTTCAAACAGCTGTCTTAAATATGGTAGATATTTCTGTATTTGTTGGGAATTATAATTATGTGTAGCATATTTAGGGCCATCCA